CTGATGCCCTTTGTGGCTTTTAACCCCACTGTGCCATCCTATGGGCCCATAGTGGGGCCATGAAGCTGCTCCCATACCCCATACCCATTGCTGTCACCGATGCCCCCAACCCCTCTCACCCGCATCCCCCCCAGCATCCCCCCCATGGGCTCTGCCTCCCATCCTATGGGTACCACCTGCCTGCTCCCATCCTCCCCCCCTCAGCACCACCATAGACCCCAATGGGGCCCCCCATGGCCAAGCCCCCCCCCCCCCCAACACATGGCCCCGCACCCCCCCCGCAGCGCCGAGTGTTTACATCCTGTCTCCTCCGTGTGTTTATACCGGGAGACTCCAGCGAGCCCGCAGGGGGGGGGGCCTGGGATCCCCGCCCAGCGGCGCGATGGAAACACGGGCATGGAGGGGGGGGGGGGGACCGGGGCCCCCTAATCCCAACCAGACCCCGCGGCCCCGCACGCACACCCCGGCCCGGCGCGGGGCCGGCACCGCGGAGCCGTGGGAGGAGCCCAGGTCCGGTTCCCTGCATCCCGGTGGGGATGAGGAGAGCTTGGATGTGGCCCCAGTGCAGCACCGGACCCACAGGGTTTGCCTATGGGGCACTGAAGGGCTGTGGGGGCGCGTTCCGGTGCCCCAAACCCATTGACATCATTGGTGGCATCACCCAGGCAACAGCCACTATGGGACCAGCAGCTCCCTATGGCCACATCCTGATGCCCAAATGAGCCCTATGTGTCCCTACAGCACCCACCACCATCAACATGGGACCAGCAGCTCCCTATGGCCACATCTGATGCCCAAACCGGCCCCATGTGTCCCTACAGCACCCACCACCATCAACATGGGACCAGCAGCTCCCTATGGCCATGCCCTGATGCCCAAACCAGCCCCATGTGTCCCTACAGCACCCACCACCATCAACATGGGACCAGCAGCTCCCTATGGCCACATCTGATGCCCAAACCGGCCCCATGTGTCCCTACAGCACCCACCACCATCAACATGGGACCAGCAGCTCCCTATGGCCACATCCTGATGCACAAACCGGCCCCATGTGTCCCTACAGCACCCACCACCATCAACATGGGACCAGCAGCTCCCTATGGCCACATCTGATGCCCAAACCGGCCCCATGTGTCCCTACAGCACCCACCACCATCAACATGGGACCAGCAGCTCCCTATGGCCACATCCTGATGCCCAAACCGGCCCCATGTGTCCCTACAGCACCCACCACCATCAACATGGGACCAGCACCCCCTATGGCCACATCCTGATGCCCAAACTGGCCCCATGTGTCCCTACAGCACCCACCAATACCAATATGGGACCAGCAGCTCCCCATGGCCACATCCTGATGCCCAAACCAGCCCCATGTGTCCCTACAGCACCCACCAATACCAATATGGGACCAGCAGCTCCCCATGGCCACATCCTGATGCCCAAACCAGCCCCATGTGTCCCTACAGGACCCACCAACACCAACATGGGACCAGCAGCCCCCTATGCCCACATCTGATGCCCAAATGAGCCCCATGTGTCCCTACAGCACCCACCACCATCAACATGGGACCAGCAGCTCCCTATGGCCACATCCTGATGCCCAAACCGGCCCCATGTGTCCCTATAGCACCCACCAATAGCAATATGGGACCAGCACCCCCTATGGCCATGCCCTGATGCCCAAACCGGCCCCATGTGTCCCCACATCACCTTAACCAAACCCAGGCCACCCCCATCACCACCAGCCCCATGCCCCGGCACCACCGGCTCTTTGCCGGCACAACCCAAACCAGCTGCTCCCCAGATGTGCCATGTGCGCCCTATCGGGGTGCTGCTGATGCCGCACAACCCATGGCCCCCTATGCTATGCAATGGGGTGCCCATAGCACAGCACAGAGGCTCCGGGTGCTGCCATGGGGGGGATGTGGGGTGATTTATGGCTCCGTGGGGCTCAGTGCCACTTAGCAGGGTATAAATCTCCCCCCCTAAGCCCGGCCCTGTAAGCAGAACCCATTGCATTTCCCTTCGGAGGCTGCTCGCTTAATGCAGCCCAGATGTGCGCCGCCACCGTGCCCCGGCCGCCGGCCCCATAGGACCGGGCTCCATAGCGAGGTTGGGGTGACCCCGGTTGGGGGTACCCCAAAACAGAGCAGTGGGATCCCTTTTAAAGCCCCCAATCGGGGCTCGCTCTGCGTCCCCCGTCCCGTCCCGTCCCGTCCCGCAAGGCCCCGGTACCGGTTGTGCCGCCGGTGGCAACGGGAGGGCAATGGAGGAGCCGGGGTTCCCGGCCTCGCTTTTCCGGTTCCCCGGGGCTCGCTCCGCTTTGCCCCCGTCCTGCGTCACCGAGGGAGCCGCGGCCAAAGCGGGCGCCGGCCTCGTGGTGCCCCGGTCCCGGTTCCAGCCCCGGTTCCAGCCCCGGTCCCAGCCCCGGTTCCAGTCCCGGTTCCAGCCCCGGTTCCAGTCCCGGTCCCAGCCCCGGTTCCAGCCCCGGTCCCAGCCCCGGTTCCAGTCCCGGTTCCAGCCCCGGTTCCAGTCCCGGTCCCAGCCCCGGTCCCAGCCCCGGTCCCAGCCCCGGTTCCAGTCCCGGTTCCAGTCCCGGTTCCAGCCCCGGTCCCAGCCCCGGTTCCAGCCCCGGTTCCAGTCCCGGTTCCAGCTCCGGTTCCAGCCCCGGTTCCAGCCCCGGCACCAGCCCCGGTACCAGCCCCGGTACCAGCCCCGGTACCAGCCCCGGCACCAGCCCCGGTACCAGCCCCGGTACCAGCCCCGGTACCAGCCCCGGTACCAGCCCCGGTTCCAGCCCCGGTCCCAGCCCCGGTCCCAGCCCCGGTTCCAGTCCCGGTTCCAGTCCCGGTTCCAGCCCCGGTTCCAGTCCCGGTTCCAGCCCCGGTTCCAGCCCCGGTTCCAGCCCCGGTTCCAGTCTCGATCCCAGCCCCAGTCCCAGCCCCGGTCCCAGCCCCAGTCCCAGCCCCGGTTCCAGTCCCGGTTCCAGCCCCGGTCCCAGCCCCGGTTCCAGCCCCGGTTCCAGTCCCGGTCCCAGCCCCGGTTCCAGTCCCGGTCCCAGCCCCGGTCCCACCGGGTGGGAGCCGCCCGGCGCCCAGGATTTGACCTTTTAAGGGGTTTTCCCGCATGGGGGAACCCCGCATGGGGCCGGGGCCGGGCTCGGGTACCCCCAATGGAGTCCAAAGGGGACGACCCCATCCCTCGGTGCCTTCCATCACCCCCATATCCCGCTGCTGCGCCCCAAGCAAAGCGTTTCCGATCCCAATCCCTGGGGCAGGGAACGGAGCTTCCCCGACCCCATTGAACCCCAATCCCTGGGGCAGGGAACGGAGCTTCCCCGACCCCATTGAACCCCAATCCCTGGGGCAGGGAACGGAGCTTCCCCGACCCCATTGAACCCCAATCCCTGGGGCAGGGAACGGAGCTTCCCCGACCCCATTGAACCCCAATCCCTGGGGCAGGGAACGGAGCTTCCCCGACCCCATTGAACCCCAATCCCTGGGGCAGGGAACGGAGCTTCCCCGACCCCATTGAACCCCAATCCCTGGGGCAGGGAACGGAGCTTCCCCGACCCCATTGAACCCCAATCCCTGGGGCAGGGAACGGAGCTTCCCCGACCCCATTGAACCCCAATCCCTGGGGCAGGGAACACCGGAGCTTCCCCGACCCCATTGAACCCCAATCCCTGGGGCAGGGAACGGAGCTTCCCCGACCCCATTGAACCCCAATCCCTGGGGCAGGGAACGGAGCTTCCCCGACCCCATTGAACCCCAATCCCTGGGGCAGGGAACGGAGCTTCCCCGACCCCATTGAACCCCAACGGCTTTCGTTTTCCTCCCCTTCTTGTCAGTGCTGGGCTTTAACTCTCGGTGCTCAGCGGCCGTTCCCTCCCTGGTAATCACAAACATGCATGGAAAAGAGGGAAGGGGGGAAAGGAAAAGGGGGGGGGGGGAACCCAACCCAACCCCATCCAACCAAACCCCAAACCAGGAGAGGAAAAGGGGGGGGGGGGGAGCCTTAAATCAATGCCAAAAGCCGTTTTAATCGCATCAAATTGAATTCAGCAGCGGCTCGGAAACGCACACCCCCCCCCCGTCCCCTTGTTTCCCCCATAGCAAACAGAGCGCAGGCACCCCCCAACCCCGGCCCCGCTCTTACCTGAGAGCTCCCCAGTAACATTTAGCATAGTCGGGGTGCAGGGAGAGGGGTTTTGGGGGGGCCGAAAGGAGTGGAAGCCAAGCGGAGAGGGAGGGAGGGAGGGAGGGAGGGAAGGGGGGGGCAGCCCGACTGCCCTGGCTCGCTTTGGCTTTGGGGTTGGGTTTGGTGCTTGGCTTTTTCCTCCTCCTCGTCCCTGTTTGTTTTGGTCTCTGCTGCTTGGGGGTGAAGCGGCCAAAAAGCAAAGGAAGTTTGGGGCTGGGTGTGTTTAAAAAGGGGGGGGGGGTTGGTTTTTGGGGGGGGGGGGTCCCCCCAATGCTCCGGTTGCTTTCGTTCGCTGCTTTATCCCCCCCCCCCTTTTTCCTTTCCTCTTTTCCACCTCCTTTGATTGGTGCCCAGGAATGCGAGGATAAAACCCGGAGCGCTTTCACCCTCCTTCGGTTCCCCTCCCGCTTCCCCTCTCCCGATGCCAGGGTTAAGCAGAACCAGGTTGCCCCCAGGAATGCGTTTGATGGGGTTTGTACACAAGAGCGGGCTCCATTCATTCCCTCCCCTCTCCTTCGCCTTCTCTCCCGGCCTTTTCCCCCCCTTCCCCATTCCCTTCGCCTTCCTCCCCATCCCCGGGGTCCCGGTGCTGAGGTTGGGAGCTGGAACCGAGCCTCGGTGCGGTGGGGAAAGAACGGGAAAGGGGGGGAAGGAAAAAGGGGGGGATCCTGGGGTGCTGCCCCCCCTCTTCCCGTTCTCCCCCTCCCTTCGGTTCTGGCTCCCGCACTGCTTTTGTTAGCGGGCGGGGAACGGGGATAGAACGGGATGGGGATGGAAGAGGGGGGGGGGGGGTCTCGTACCTGCTCGCAGCTCCATGCGGGACACAAGCGGGAGCGGGGCGGGGGGTGCGTGCTCGGGGCTGCCCGGGTCCGAGGCTGCGGTCCCGAACACCGGACCGGGACCGGGACCGCGGCTCCCATTTGCTGCCCGGAGCCCTTCTCGCTTCTTCTCCTCCCGACGCACAGAGCGGCCGCCGCCGCACGCCGAGAGCCCGGTCCCCCGGGGAGGGGAAGGGGGGGGAACGGGGGGGAACGGGGGGGGGGGACGGGGCGAGGTGCGGAGGAGCCCGGACGGGAAGGGGGGGAACGGGGGGGAACGGAACGGGGGGTGCCAGCCTGACCCCCCCCCCCCAAACCGACCGCCCCCCCGGGACCGGGGAGGAGCGACGGGAACTTGGGGGATGGGGGGGGTCCCGACGGGGGGGGCACGGATAAACGGAACCCTTCCCCCCCCAACCCCCCCAAAACCCCGGTGCTCCGGTCCGGGGCGGCTGCAGGTGAGGGGAGCGCGGCCGTCGGGGCTCGGTGGGCTCCGATCGCGACTCAGAAGCGGGGCTCAAGGGTGGACGCGGATGGAAGCCCCCCGGTCCCGCACCGCAAAGCGCACCCCCACACCCCCACCCCCTTTAAAGCCGCCGTCCCGCATCCGACGACCCCGTTAAGACGAACCCTGATGGTAACGGGGGGAGCTTGGCCGTGATCGCGGCCCCTTCCTCCCCCCCCCCGGCCCGTTATGAACCGCGGGGGCTGAACGCGCTCCAAACCCGCACCGTCCTGGGGACCCCCCCCCCCCCAACGTCCCCATCTCCCCCTGCCCCAGCCGTGGGTGCTGCCACGGGGGCGAAGGGAACCGGGTCCCGTTCCCCCCCCCCCGGAATAAGGAGCTTTGTTGAAGACAAAGGCGCTGGGAGCGCCGGGAGGTCCGAGGCGGGTCCGTGTCGGCCACAGCCAGGTCCGAGCGTTCCCGGCTCCGTTCCCGGTCGCGATCGCATCCTCCCGGCTGTACCCCGGGGGTGCGGGGGAGCGGGGGGAGCGCTTGGAGCGATGCCACCGCCTTGCGTGGCTCTGAATCCATCGGGATCCGGAGCGCTGGAGCCACCGGGCCCTGGCTTTAGGGGCAGCCGGTAGGGGTAAACCCCACACACGGACCCACACGGAGCGGTCGGGCCGGGGTGGTTTATGGGGCGGTTTATGGGGTGGGAAGCGTGGGTTCGGTGGGGAATCCATAAGGAAGCACCCAACACACGTGGGTCAGGGCGATGGGGGGGGGTCCTCGGGGTGCTTCCCATTGGGACACAGAGCTCTTGGGGTGCTGCAGCGCCATGGGTGACAGAGGGGCCGGTGGGATGGAGCCGCATCCTCCCTCCCCAGCAGCCTGTTATGAGGGGGGGGGGGTCCCCACTTCCAGCCCTGCACCGCATGGGCCCATTCCCAGTGCAGGGGATCTGGTTTCCCCCTTAGCCCCCTGCCAGCAGCATGGAGCAGCCTCCATGGCCTTGGGGATTGGGGGGGATTGGGGGGGGGGGGTCCTGCTTGCTGTGCCCCATCCCAATCACCATCACTGGTTAAGGTGGGTTCTGGTGGGGTTCCCAGCTCTGTGGCTGCAGGGATCACCTGGGAGAGGAGGAGGAAGAGGAGGGTGATGGAGATGGGGGACACGGCACAAGCCCCCCTCTATCACCCAATGGGACAAGGGGGGCGCAAGGCACTGGAGGGATGGGAAGCAGCATCCTCATCCTCATCCTCATCCTCATCCTCATCCCTGCTGCCCCCGGGCCACGTCACCAGCTCGGTGCTGACCTCACCTTCATCCCCGCCGGCGCCGCCGCCTCCCACTGCTGCCCTTTGCGGCCGCCGCTTCCCCCCCCCGTTGCTCCCTGCCTGCTCCTTCCATAGCCTCCAGCACCATTGGTAGCCATGGGCCGCACCCCAGCAATAGGGGGGAGGGGGTGCCCGGAAGGCATCGCCAACCCCAACGCATCCATGGGGTGCGCGGTGGGCACCATCCCCGCTGCTTAAGGGGTGTCTCAGGGCACGGAGCAGCCCTGGAGCCCCACGCCGGTGCCTTCCCATCCGCCCCACATCCAGCTGTGTCCGTCTGTCTCGTGCCATGTGCTTGGGATGGGAGCCACCAGTAGATGGGACAGGCTGGGGTGACAGGGGCCAGTTCCCAGTTCAATCCCAGCTGGATGGGGGGGGGGAATGGGAACGGGACACCATGGGGACCAGGAGGGGTGCGCGGGGCTTTGGCCACCGCGGAGGTGTCTGTGTCACGAGCGCAGGCAGCTGCGTCCCATCCACGGCCCCATAAAACGCAGACCCCGAGGCCAGAGCCCCTCCTGGGGACAGCGGCTCCAGGGCTGGAACACACGCACGAACCCTTCCTCCTCTTGGGAAGGAGGCAGGAAAGGGGCCGGGAGCCAGGGATCCCAATGGGGCTGGACCCCAAACCGTGGCCAAGGCAGGGCTGGGAGCCCCACAGGCTCCCCCATGCACGCAGATACGTGCAGCACGGCCCCATAAGTTGTGTACCTGGAGGGGATGTGCAGCCGAGGGGCGCTGGGTCTGGATCCAGGACGTGGAGCATCCGGAGAGGCACCTGATGGGAAGAGGAGGAGGAGAGGATGAGGATGCTGGGATGCAGGGGAACGGCTCCGTGCCCCCCTTCGGTGCCAGCCCCACACCGAGGCTCCATCCCCGGGCCCCTCTTTGGTCTCTGGGAGCTGTGAGCAGGGGGCAGCTCCGGGCCCCCCACTGCAAGAGGGACCTTGAGGGGCTGGAGCGGGGCCAGAGCAGGGCAATGGAGCCCAAGGGTGATGGGGAAGGGCTCATCCCAAGCCCTTGCTGTGGGTTGGATGCATGTGGGAGGGAAAGGATTCTCCGAGCCCCCCCCCAAGCACAGCCCCCCCATAATGGGACCCCTATCCCTGTCCCATTGCTTTCCTCACACACCTCATGCACGGCTTCCCATTGCTTCCAGTGCCTGAAGGATGGGGGGACCACATTCTGCTGCCAACCCGGCTACAGCATCCCCCTCCCATAGGCACTGCTTGGGAGGCAGAGCCCAAAGGCTGGGGTCCCCCTGAGCCTTCTCCACACTGAACCCCTCAACCCCCCCTCCCCGGGGTGGGTTTCTCAGCTCCTGCCCCCCATGTGGGCCCCACACCCCCCCCGGCTCTGGGCCCCCTTCCCACCCCGCATCCCATGGGAGGGCACTGGGATGCCTCGAGTGTGACCCGGGATGAATGGAACGCATTGACATGAATGGAGCTCGGTGTGAACCCGGGGGGGATCCGGCTCCCCCCGCCGCTCGCCGTCGAGGCCCGATTGGCTGAGGGCCCCGTCACTCCAATGCGCGCAGCCAATAGCGAGCCGAGGGGTGGGCGGGCTTACCGCGGGAAGCCGGGAGCGTAGGGCGGGACCGCGCTGGGTGACGTAAGGAGCGACAAAGCCGCCGGGCCGTCGCGCTGCGGCGCTGACCAATCAGCTGGAGGTAGGGGCGGGACGGAGGCCGGCGCTCCACCAATCGGAGGGCGGCGGGGGAGGGCGGCGCGGGAGACGGGAAGGTGCCGGCGCGGAGGTGAAGCGGGCGGAACCACGACGGTCGCGGGGTGGGGGGGGGGCCGGACGGGACCAGTGCGGGGGGCGCGGGGAGGAGGGGGGGGGCGTAAAGGGACTTGGGGGGGGGAAGGGGGAAGGCCGAGAGCAACCGGCAGCGGGGCGTGGCTTCCGCGTTGAAAGGGGCGTGGTGCAGGCTCGGGGGCGTGGCCTGCGGCAGGAGGCGCGAAGCCGCCACGTGTGCGCTGGGTCCCGGTGCCCGACCCCGCGCCATGAAGTGCATCATCGTCGGTGGCAACGTTAAAGGTGAGCGGGGCCATGGGGGGCCATGGGGCGGGGGGGGGGCAATGGGGTGCCCTTCCTCACCCCCCCAATTCCCTCCTCTTTCTCAGTCCTCAGCCGAGCTGTGCTCTCCCTGTCCCGTATCGGCGATGAGCTCTACCTGGAGCCCACTGAGAACGGGGTATGGGGGAACTGACAGGGCTGGGAGCTGGGGGGCCACCAGTGCCCCCCACTCTCCCCACTGAGCTATGGCCACCCTATAGCTGTCCCTGCGCTCCATCAACTCCTCCCGCTCCGCCTTCGCCTCCTTCCTCTTCGCCCCCATCTTCTTCCAGCGCTACGAGGCCGGCGGCCCCGAGCCCGACACCGAGCTCTTCCGCTGCAAAGTGCTCATGAAGGTGCACCCCCCCCCCCCCAAGTGCCCCCCATTGCTCCAGGAGCGGTTTGGGGGTGACCATCCCCATCCCCATCCCCATCCCAGTCCTTCCTGGGTGTCTTCCGCTCGCTGCCCTCACTGGAGAAGACAGTGGAGAAATGCCTGATCCTGCTCAAACCCCAGCTCAGCCGCTTGGTGGTGCAGCTCCAGTGCAAGTACGGTGCGTACTGGTGGTGCTGGTGCTGACGGATGGGTGCAATGGGCACCACGGAGCCCGGCCCCACTGCTTTGTCCCCCTTTACCAGGCGTCACCAAGACCCACAACCTGACCTTCCAGGAGTGCGAGCGCCTTCAGGCTGTCTTTGACACCCAGCGATGCGCCAGCAGCCTCCGCGCCCCAGCGCAGTGAGTGGGGAGCACTGGGACGGGCTGAAGGCAGGGGGACCCCGTTTCCATAGGACACAGTGTATGGAGGGGGGGGGGTTTTGGGGTGCTCACCCCAATGGGTCTCATAGGCTGTTGGTAGAGGCTGTGGTCCACTTCCCCTTGACGCTGGCCGAGGTGACGCTGAGGGTTGATGCTGGGGGTAAGATCACGCTCCAGAACTACGTGGAGGATGAGGCAGGTGAGTGCTATGGGGTTGGGGTGCCCCTTCCCCAACATTGGGCTGCCCTCATGCACCCCCTGCACCCCATTCCCCGTACCCCACAGAGCCCAGCAAGACGATGGTGACGGAGCTGTGCTTGGCCAAGGAGGAGTTCGAGGCAGTGGCTGCAGTCCCGGATTCCCACATCACTTTCTGCCTCCGGGAATTCCGGGTGAGGCCCTGCCCGCACCCCAAAACCCAGCTTGGGGTCACCCCTCAGCCCCCCCATAACCCCCCCTTTACCCCCTGCTTTAGGGGCTGTTGAGCTTCGCAGAGGCCTCCAACCTGCCCCTCAGTATCTACTATGATGCACCCGGCAGGTAGGGATGGGGACCCCAGGACCAGGCCTTGCTTCTGGGGGTACCCCCCCCCCCAACTTTAAGCTCTTTGTGCCCCCAGGCCGGTGGTCTTCACACTGGATGACACCATGCTGGAGGTCAACCTGGTGCTGGCCACCCTTTCGGACCCACAAAACACCCCCCAGCACCCCACATCCAACGGGTAGGAGCTATGGGGGGGGCACCGGTCCCCCCACTTTGGCATCAGTAGGGACCAGAGTGAACGCTCCCCACACTGCCCCTGCTTACCCCCACAGCGTGCCCCACGTCCCCGTCCCCTCGGATGACTTCACTGACGACCTGGAGGCCTACATGATCACAATGGAAACCAGCACAAGGGACCCCCAAAACCCCACGTTCCCCCTGAGCACCCCAAATCCCCCCCCCAGCGATGAGGAGGAGGATGATGAGGACGGTGGCGCCGTACCAGGGACCCCCCCCAACAAGAAGGTGTGGATGGGCAGGGGGCCGCCCTGAGGCCACGGGGATGGGCACACCCCCCCCCCCGTCCTGAACCCCATTTCTCTCTTTTTCACCCCAGTTTCGCTCCTTGTTTTTTGGCTCGGTGCTGACCCCGGGGGGCCCCAACCCGGCCCCAACACAGGAGGTGCTGGCAGAGGACAGCGATGGCGAGTGCTGAGCACCCCAAAATGCTCCCCCCCACACACAAACAGAACCCCCAAATTACAAGTTTATTCCCCCAAAAAAACACCCCCTCCTGCTCACACCCCCCCCCCCCTTTTTGCCCCTCCACCTCCATAGGGTTGGGGGCTTTGAGCCCCCCCCCTTTTAGGGCTTGCATTTGGGGTGGGGGCGGCCGGGGAAGGGAGAACAGAGGGGGGGGGTGTTTAGGATCTTCCAAATAAAAAAGCCCCCCCAAAAATGAGTTGAAAGCAAAAGCAACCGGATGCTGAAGGAGAACGGGGGGCAATGGGGGGGTTTTGGGGCTCACTTCTTGGCTTTGGCAGAGTTGCGGGGGGGGGTGACGGGGCGGCCGGCGGGGTTCAGCCCACTGAACTGCCCATATTTGCCCTTGTTCTTGTCAGCTGGCTTCAGGATCTGGAGGGAAAAGTGGGGTGCAAAGGGTAAGGGATGGGGGGGGGGTGTTTCACCCCATCCTGTTCCCATCCTGCATTGAGTGGGGATGCTCTGAACCTTCTCTTTGCACCCATCCAGCAGGAATTAAGGGGGGGATGGATGGTCCTATATGTGTGTACCCCCCTTTCACCCCATCCCGCATTGAGGGGGGATGCTCTGAACCTCTTTGCACCCATCCAGCAGGTATTAAGGGGGGGATGGATGATCCTATATGTGTGTACCCCCCTTTCACCCCATCCTGTTCCCATCCTGCATTGAGTGGGGATGCTCCGAACCTCTTTGCACCCATCCAGCAGGAATTAAGGGGGGGATGGATGATCCTATATGTGTGTACCCCCCTTTCACCCCATCCCGCATTGAGTGGGGATGCTCCGAACCTCTTTGCACCCATCCAGCAGGAATTAAGGGGGGATGGATGGTCCTATATGTGTGTACCCCCTTTCACCCCATCCCGCATTGAGTGGGGATGCTCCAAACCTCTTTGCACCCATCCAGCAGGTATTAAGGGGGTGATGGATGATCCTATATGTGTGTACCCCCCTTTCACCCCATCCTGCATTGAGTGGGGATGCTCCGATCCTCTTTGCACCCATCCAGCAGGTATTAAGGGGGGGATGGATGATCCTATATGTGTGTACCCCCCTTTCACCCCATCCTGTTCCCATCCCGCATTGAGTGGGGATGCTCTGAACCTCTTTGCACCCATCCAGCAGGTATTAAGGGGGTGATGGATGATCCTATATGTGTGTACCCCCCTTTCACCCCATCCTGCATTGAGTGGGGATGCTCCGATCCTCTTTGCACCCATCCAGCAGGTATTAAGGGGGGGATGGATGATCCTATATGTGTGTACCCCCCTTTCACCCCATCCTGTTCCCATCCCGCATTGAGTGGGGATGCTCTGAACCTCTTTGCACCCATCCAGCAGGAATTAAGGGGTGATGGATGGTCCTATATGTGTGTACCCCCCTTTCACCCCATCCTCTTCCCATCCTGCATTGAGTGGGGATGCTCTGAACCTCTTTGCACCCATCCAGCAGGTATTAAGGGGGGATGGATGGTCCTATATGTGTGTACCCCCCTTTCACCCCATCCTGTTCCCATCCTGCATTGAGTGGGGATGCTCTGAACCTTCTCTTTGCACCCATCCAGCAGGAATTAAGGGGGGGATGGATGATCCTGTATGTGTGTACCCCCCTTTCACCCCATCCCGCATTGAGTGGGGATGCTCTGAACCTCTTTGCACCCATCCAGCAGGTATTAAAGGGGGTGATGGATGATCCTATATGTGTGTACCCCCTTTCACCCCATCCCGCATTGAGTGGGGATGCTCTGAACCGCTTTGCATCCATCCAGCAGGAATTAAGGGGGGGATGGATGATCCTATATGTGTGTACCCCCTTTCACCCCATCCCACATTGAGTGGGGATGCTCTGAACCTCTTTGCACCCATCCAGCAGGTATTAAGGGGGTGATGGATGATCCTATATGTGTGTACCCCCCTTTCACCCCATCCCGCATTGAGTGGGGATGCTCCGATCCTCTTTGCACCCATCCAGCAGGTATTAAGGGGGTGATGGATGACCCTATATGTGTGTACCCCCCTTTCACCCCTATAGCATCCTACCTGAAAGGAGCACATGAGGGTTTCATCCACGCTCATCATGGCCCCAGCGTTGTCGAACTCCCCGCAGTAGTTGGGTGCTGAGAAGAGGGTGACGAGCTGGCGCTTGGCGAAGAACTCGTACCCGTCCTCCACTACCTGTATGGGCAGCAATAGGGGTGAACCGGGCCCTAAAGTACCCCAAAACACCCCAAAATGGGGTGGATGCAAGAGTTCCATCCCTGGCAGTGCTCAAGGACACAGGGGTTTGGAGCGAGCTGCTCCAGTGGAAGGGGTTGGGGTCGCACTGGTTTCCATGAGATGCTGCCCTGGAGGGGTAAATTTAGGGGTAACCCCCCTGTACCCCATACTAAATACCCCAAAATTGGGTGTATCAAGAGTTCCATCCCTGGCAGTGCTCAAGGACACAGGGGTTTGGAGCAAGCTGCTCCAGTAGAAGGGGTTGGGGTCGCACTGGTTTCCATGAGATACTACCCTGGAGGGGTAAATTTAGGGGTAACCCCCCTGTACCCCATACTAAACACCCCAAAATTGGGTGTATCAAGAGTTCCATCCCTGGCAGTGCTCAAGGACACAGGGGTTTGGAGCGAGCTGCTCCAATGGAAGGGGTTGGGGTCGCACTGGTTTCCATGAGATACTGCCCTGGAGGGGTAAATTTAGGGGTAACCCCCCCTGTACCCCATATTAAATACCCCAAGGCGGGGGGGACACCCCCATGGCCATACCTGGTGCGCCCGGCAGATGAGGTCCAGGTCGTGCTTGTGCAGGAACTTGGCCACCACCTCGGCCCCAAAGGTGAAGGAGACCCCACGGTCGTTCTCCCCCCAACCCTGCACGTCCTTATCGGGGTCGGACCAGAGGAGGTCACAGAGCAGGCCCTGGTCGGGGACATCAGTGGGGCGCATGATGCGGCGGATCTGCTCCATGGACTGCAGGTCGGGAGACAGCCCTATGGGAAAGGGGATGGGAAAGAGGGGGGTTAACGGCATCCTCATCACCAGCACCCCCTCTCTGTGCACCCCAAAAGCATCACCAGCGCCCCCTCTCTGTGCACCCCAAAAGCATCACCAGCAT